GCATTATATGGGTTGAAGCAGTATCCTCGTGCATGGTTTGAGAGGCTTTGTGGGGCCATGAAGAAAGTGGGGTACACTCAGAGCGGTGCAGATCATACCTTGTTCATAAGGAGACAGGATAGCAAACTTACGGCACTCATTGTTTATGTGGATGATATGGTGATTATCGGGAATGACTTGGAAGAGATAAAAAGACTGAAGGAGTTTTTAGCTTTGGAATTTGAGATCAAAGACTTGGGCCATTTGAGATATTTTCTTAGGATTGAAGTTGCTAGGTCAAGAGAAGGAATCTACTTATGTCAGCGGAAGTATGTTCTTGACCTCCTAGAGGAAACAGGCATGATGGGGTGTGGGCCAACAGATACTCCAATAGAACAGAATCATGGCCTACAAGAATCAGTAGGGGAGGACTACTGTGATAGATTGAGATACCAAAAATTGGTAGGGAAGCTGATATACTTATCTCTTACTCGGCCAGATATTGCTTATGTTGTCAGTCAATTCATGCACTCTCCAAAGGTCCCTCATATGAAAGCAGTTGAAAAGATTCTCAGGTACTTGAAGACTTGCCCAGGGAAGGGAATTCTATTCAGGAAAAACAATAGAATTGAAATTGAAGCTTATACTGATGTAGATTGGGTTGGTTCTGTTGGAGACAAAAAATCAACTTCAGGATATTATACATTTGTGGGATGGAACCTGGTCACATGGCGCAACTGATGGTCCAAGCTCATTAAAGCTGAGGGTCCTCTCAGACTGTATTGTGACAACAAGGCTGCCATCAACATTGCAAATAACCCTGTGCAACATGACAGGACAAAACATATTGAGATTGATCGACATTTTGTTAGAGAGAGAATAGTCCCGGGAGAACTCTGCATTCCTTATACTCCATTTGAGATGCAAATTGCAAATGTATTGACTAAAGGGTTGGTTGCAGCAAAGTTCATGGACCTTCTTGGAAAGCTAAACATGATTGACATCCGAGCTTAGCTTAGGGGGAGTGTTAGGTTGAAGGTTTTGTATGTATGGATGGTTCGGCTGATAAGAGTTCTTATTAGCCTGTATTTGAGTTTAAGTTGTTATGTACTGGGCCTGTGTTAATGGGCCTAAGTCTGTTTAGTGTTTTAAGTTGTCTGTGTGTCCCATCACTAATCAAGGGCATCCCAGTCATTTCATGTAACATTGTACTGTACTTTAAWATAAATAATAGTAYTGTCRACTGGGTTAGTTCAGTTCGACATTCTCAGCATCTCTTGGTCTTCTCCTCTCTTCTACTGCTTCAGCTACAGCACTTCAGCTTTCAATTATCTATAGGTTTTCTCACTTTCTGATTGTTAGCTTGCATTTGTGGGTGGTGGTAAGCACCTCCATCTTCAATTTGTAGTCATAGCTCCCCCCCCCAAAAAAAAAAAATTGAAATAAAAGTACATGAATATACTGAATAGAGAGAGAGAGAGATGAACATGCAAGGATAATACAATAATGGACAAGAACTCCAATCTACAGAAAATAGAATGAAATGTAAGCCTCCGCTCTATGCAAGCAACACCAACTTACACGATCAAAATCCACATCAATGTGCTTGCACCCAATCAAAGCAAGTGTTTCTTCAAAGTTTATATTTCTGCATATATCTTTATTACATACAACAAAGTTAGTCTACTAACTCCAACTTTCTTTGTTTCTGAGGTTTTTGTTGGCTGAAATAGTATGCTAAAGCAGCTAAATTAATCAACCAAACTTGCTTCTAGACATTTAATTTCGTCCAGTTGAGCTAATAGGCTTTTTAAAACATTTAATTTTCTTTTAAAATCAAATTTACACATTTTATGTATTAATGGTTTCTTTTGAATTTTTTTTATTTTTAACAACTTGCACATTGCTTCATCCAAACACGCCTTATAGGTGCTAGAAGGATACAGACTAAACAAAATTTCCTTTCAAGTAAAAAAAAATACACCATCTCAAAATTTCTCTTAAACTTTTCCGTCTTTTAAGGACCTAAATTTTATAGGAAGCATAATTGTGAGTTTTGCGATCAAGAATCAACCAGGGAATCTGATTTGTCAATGGAGTGTAAAAAATTTGCTAGATCAAAAACCTAAATGGCATGACCTAAAATATGTTACAAATTAAGATGTCTTAATTTCTTCACCTACATAACTTGCTAATCATTTTAATGAGGATACTGAAAAAAAAGGCATTCTTAGTGAATTTATACACAATTTTCCCACCTACATGTGTTCAAATCAAATGCTAATTTGATGACTGCGTCAACAAAAAGAATTTCATATTCATGAAATCATAAATATGACTCATAACACTTCATAAAATATGAGACTGTCCATCCATGGGTTGCTGAAGAAAACCAAATGGGAGGTCAAATATCGTGTCTCTTCACAAATGCACAAACAACTATGCCCAAACTCTTTTCTTGGGGAGAAGGTCCAAGATTTTGATCTCATCTATCTTGGCAGCTACTATAAAATCATTCATACTCAGGCCACCTGCAATTTGGAAACAACAACATTGAAAATGGAAACATTTAAGACTCCAATTAGAGTAAAGATCCAGAAAAGAATGCAATTTGGTCTACAAAATGCTATCAACAATCAAATGGTAACTCAACTAAGTCTTGTCCCAATTATTTAGGATCATTCACAAGAATCTTATTCTATCATATACTCTCTCTTAGCACCACAACTTTTGTCAAACCATAGGTCCTTGAGCCTAGGAGTGCCAATGGACTGGTTTTGGACTGGAACCCATCCAAATCAAAATCAATTTGGATGGACTGGACGGACCAATGAGACATATTGAAGTGGACCAGTCCAGACTTAATGGTCAAAAATATTTATTGGGTTGGATTGCACTTGGTCTATCCGTAGTGGATTTATATTGGATGGGTCTGATTGAACCAATATCCGGTTCATTAATAGAAGATAAGAATATAGGCATCAATGGACCACATTTGGATTGGAACCAATCTAAATTAAAACCATTTTGAACAGACTGGATGGTGTAGACATTGAATTAAACTGGTCCAAAATGGTCCAGAGTAATAGACTCATATTGAACCGGGTCCTACTTGAGCCTTTTCTCACAACTTAAACCTTATCTTTATTTGTCCTTTATCTTAATGTTTTAGAACCTTCAAGTTGCAGAAAAACGCTCCTTATTGGAGAAGTCCTAAGTGCACATGGAGAAAACCATCTTGGCTAATTTCCTTCATCTTTCCATTTTCTGAGAGCTCTCCTTTGAGAATTCTTCAAGTATTGGAATGGATTCCTAGGGAAAATTCCATAGCTGATGATCCTGCTAGGTTAGGGGCCATTGGGGCAGGCTTATAATAGTGTGGCATCATTGCTATTGGAGCTTGTAATTTCTACGTTTCTGTACAGCATGCAACAGAATCTCCATTTTTATTATGATGACCATTTTATGTATCCTTTTTTTCTTTTTTTTTTTTTTGGTATTCTCCCTTTTCCTAATGAAAGTTCCTAGAAGTGTATCATTGCTAATGTCATTTCTTGGTCTCACCATCCTATTTTTAAACATTCTCATTTCAACCATGACAATTCAATGTACATGTTGCATCTTGTTTGCCTAGCACTTATCTTATGGAGAATGTTTGGGCCTAAAACCATCTAAGAAAAATTTTATTGGTCACAAAACACTCCAAATGCAAGTTTCCACCTTGTTTGACCTGCTCTAGTTCCATTAAGTAATATCCTCTCCCCTAGATTAGAAATGGTTACTTTGTGGCATGTCCAAGTAATCAATCCTAAAACTGTGTTTCATTTCACATTCTTATTAAAAGTGCATTCCACAAATTTTCTTATCTCGAATCTTTTAACTCCTAAGCATACCTCTGTAGTTCTAACTTTGTACGTACTTCAGTCTCTATTTCAATCCAAACCAACATTAGCAAACAAGACATATAACTGGACCTCCTCTTGTAAATGCCTAGATGACTCATCCAAGCAATGAGATTAGTGCAGATCCTTGATGTGGTGGTGCCAGGAATAAGAACTTTTGTTTGTTTCCTCCAAATGTTCTCACACTTAGCAGGAGCATTTCTCAATTATGCATGCCCATTTTTCTGAAAAATAAATTTTCTTGGCCTAGAAGGTTCACAAGGTGGACTCTATGGAATATTAAATGGAACAAGGCTTCTTTAAGTCTTATTTTCCTATGCGTGATATGTTTAGTTTTGCAAATACAAGGAATGCAAAATGAGTACCATTTTTTCATATGGTATTCTTGTGGTCATTACACAAGTTGTGTTCCTATATGATTTTCAATAACCTAAATTTATAAGTCCAAAATGGTAGTTAATCAGGTTATATGTTATTTTTCCTTGCCATAAAAAAACAAATAAATAAAAGCTAAGCCTACCTAAAACATCCAAAAGTGATCAGTCATGTGATTATATAATATTGTTTGTAGCCATGCTAATAGAGCTAAAGAAATACAACAAATGCATATATACTAAAAGACTCTTTTTTCCTAGAGTAGGAACTAGATCATGAATTTTGCCCTTATGTTTTCTTCAACCATTTGTTATTTTTAAGGTTATAGATCCCTAGGATTAAATTCTAGAAAAACAATAAATAAAAATACAACTGATATCAAAATTTTCTTCTGTTCAACCTTAGATGATAAAATGCATTGGTAATAAAATAGCAAACAAAAAAGAGAGGTTGCAATTGATATATTTGCTTACCAATGGAAGCAGTCCATAGCTCAGCCCTAACTTGGTTGGGCTGTTCCAAGTGAAGATTTGGATAATGCCCAGTAGTCTCCGCAACCCTATAAATCCTATTGATGAGTTCAACCCCACATTTGAAATCTCTCAACTTCCATAAGCACTGAAGTTTAAGGCCTCCTTCATCATCTACCAATCTCCAACCAACTACCTAAAAAACAAGAAGAAAGACTAAATAAGATGGTGACACTGAGACACAATGTTGTACATTTGCACTGGGACATTTTGAGGTAATAAATTGGAGCTGAGATATGTGAATTTTGCACTCGGTTGAAAGCCTTGAGAGAGAAGACCAGAATTGGGAGTTAGCAGTTCTTAACTAATAGCTTGTGAGATGAATATCAGAAATTTAAATAAGACATTATGTTATTTGTATACCTGTGAAGAGAAGGAATAAAATGGGATGTTGCAGTTTTCTCAAAGGAATAACAACTTTGGGAATTTCGCTCCTTCTAGTAGCTTCTGATATGAAACTTAAAATCGGTATTAAGGTATTTCCAGTTCAAATAGCTCCGTATTAAATGTGGTTCAGGCCTACACATGCCATTCTAAGTTGAATCCCTAATGAACCTAAAACCCAAATAGTCGTGTGCTCAATAAGACAACAAGATTTTAGAACAGACACTGGAGACTTCCGAGTAGCTAGAGAAGCAAAAACAGCTCTAAGAGCAGTACAAAGAAATCGCAGATTCATAGCTAAGCATTAGACCAATACTCCATTTATTAATAAAATAAAAAAATAGAAATGGGTAGTAAAAATTTGGCTCCTCCAACAGCTTATTTGTCGAGAACCAAAATTTCGCAACCAATATATACAGTTTTAAAAAAGGTTTTAGGAAGAAATCAAACGAGTATTCGAAGACGACCTTTCTTAAAAACGTCTGAGCGTCGTCCTCTGAAATCGGAGGTTGGTAAGGAGAGACCGGGGTGCATTCTTGTTGAGCCAGAGAGAGAGAAGAAGCATTAGGAATAAGGATTTTATGCTCAGTGTCGACGTTCCCCAGAACCTTCTCAGCAAAATTACTCTCTATTTCCGCTGCGAACGGGTCTCTGGCGCCAAAATCTCCCAAGAGATCGCCTCCCGAGGCGTGTGCTAGCTGTCTCCTTCGCTTCCCGGTGGCGGGCGCAAGCTCTGAGAATGCGTGGGTGAAGGTTAAGTTGGTCCTGTTTTGAGTCTGTGAAGTTGAAAGAGAAGATAAGGAGATGGGGAGAGTAGAAGAAGAGAAGAAGAGTCGGCTGGCAGCCATGGCAGAGAGAGAGAGAGAGAGAGACGCGCGCTTGCTGCTTTGCTGGCACCTGGCAGTTGACACTGCCTCTTATAGTCTTATCCCATTGTAAACCGAACCGGAAATGGACCGGTCTATCCGGTTGCAATCCCGGTCTATCTAGATGCAATAATTAGCAACCAGCCAAAAGACCGGAAAATCTCAAACCGGTTCACTGTATTTTCAAATTTCAATTTCAATTAAATAACGTAACTGCCATTGTCGTCACTAAAAGGTGCTAACACTGCAACGCCAAAACGGCGCAACCATTAAACTTGCCTGGTACAAAGCATATATACTGATCTCTCTCTTACTGTTTCGCTCAAACTCGCTCATTCTTGTTTTCTGTTGAAGAAAATTAGATCCCACTATCGCAGTGTTCTCTAATAATATTAATGGCCAGCATGCAATCAGAAGAGAGTCCAGTCACTCCGCCATCGATGCCTTTTCCTTCCATTCCCCTCCACTTGGCCGGATTTCTCACCGGTAACACCATTCATGTCCAAGGTGATGCTGGAAACTTGCACTTCTCAGGCAAATTTGACATTCTGGGTGACACCCGAACATCTTCGATTTCGAGTCTGTTTTCATCCATAACTCCTAACACAAGCCATGATGAAGAGAAAGATCACAATACAGAGACAAACCCATCAACCCAGTTGGAGAGAACTCCCGATTTCAATGAGGTTTTAGACCAGGATGGGATGGAGTTTGATCTTGTGAATGATGGTCGGGATCTGCAGGGTGAAGAAGCCGCCCCTGAAAAATGTGATAGTACTAGTACTACTAAAGAACAGAACATTGTAACCAGGCTTAGGAGCGGTGTGATATCTCCGGTGTCATATTTCCGACGCGTGAAGAAACATGGTTTAGATGGTGAATGTCAGAAGTCTTGCATGTCGACGAGATCGAGACTGAGGAGAGAAGGGAGAGAAAGAAGACAAGTGTTAGAAAAGGTGCTTAGACGACATAGTCTTCCGGTAAGGCCTTGTAGTTCTTATACTTTCTTTGTGATGTCCATGTGGGGTTCGGCCAGGAGGTCTTCCTTTGAGGAAACAAGCAAGATATTGAGCCAGATGTGGAGCAAACTCCCCGCTGTAGAGAAGAAAGTATAACTCTCTCTCTCTCTCTCTCACACACACACACAAGAAAATGTTGGAACTAATTAATATCTGTTTTTACAGGTATATGTGGACATGGCGATGAAGGATATTGCTAGATACAAGAAACAACGCCTGATGTTGAGAAGGAAATAACAATGTCTTATTGCTCATTGCTTTTTTTCTTTTGATTGTTTTTGAGGAGCAAAGGAAAACCTTTGTTTTTGGATTTTTTTTTTTTTTTTTTTTTTGACATTTGTCGCTGTATTTGAACGTTGAAGGACATATGAATCAGGAGAGAGAGAGAGGATTGGATCAGTGGTGCCAGAATTAGATAGGCCAATTGAAATACTGCTTACTATGAAAATTTTATGAGAGTATACGAGTTTATGAACTATGGTAGGATGGTCATGCAATTGATTTTACTTCTCTGTGTGAAGGTAGAAGAATGTAATTCTTATCCCAAGGCCCCATTAATTAGATGTTTCGTTTCCAGGTCAAGCTTATGGTAAAGGTAACCATGCATTTGGCTCTGCCCATAATACAAGGACCTATCTATGCTGGATGTCAATTGTCAGATCGAGACCAAATTAATCGATTCAATTACTGAAGCATTTATAATCTTGATAACATTGGATGTTCCTAAGACTAGAGTTATGGGTAAATGTCAACCAAAATAGAATAAATAAAAATTAATTAACCTATTCATTAAATGTCAACCACACCAACATTTTACAAGTAAATGGGATTAGAGTTAGGAATGATCATGGGTAGGGCTTAGCACCTATAAAGTAAGCGCTTATAGCCCAGGCCCACGATGGGCCGGGCCATCTATGGGTTATTAGGTTGATATTATTGAGGATTTGAAATTAGGGGTGTAAATGGATCGAATTCGAACCGGATCATGTAATATTCAAATTCAAATCCGATTAGAAAATCCGATATTTGAATTCAATTCGATATTCGATGGGTATTGAAAATTAATATCTGAATTTGAATTCGATTAATTAATTATTTTAGATAATTAATAAATATATAAAATAAATATTTTATTGATATAAAGTATATAAATATATAAATTATTTATATAACTTAATTATTATATATAAATTATATAAAATATTTTATATATTATACATAAGAATTAAATAATCGGTCGAATTCAGATATTTATCGAATTGAATCAAGTCATACCAAATTTGAATCTGATTAACTATTCGGTAAGAATAGGATATCCGAATTCAACCGATTAGATAATCAAATTATCCGAATTCGATTTTATTATGTCGAATATCGAATTCGAAATTGGATTATCGAATACCATTGACACCCTTATTTGAAATATAGACAGATTGATGACAGAGCTGTGAGCGTCAAGGAGGTCCCTATAAATCACTTAGGCTTCATTTGGAAAGAGTGCAAATACAAATGTGTCCTGTGCAAAACTGTAAGTAAATACAAATATTCACTGTTAATGAAAATGACAGCATTTCTATTTTCATTCTTCCCAAATGGAGCCTAATGATGAGGGGTGAGCAAATGGGTAGGTTCTACCTGGAATCAACCTTGAACCGGCCTACCCAATCTATTATAGGGTAGGGCCTGGTTCCAAATTCTTGGAACCGACCCAAACCTAATATGATTTTAGGGCCTATGGGTTTACCCTACCCGAACCAACCCGATGACCGGCCTTGGTAGAACCGACTTTGCCTTTTAGAAGTAATTATTTTAACAACCACTCAAGGTTGTTTGGTAACCCACTTTCCAAATCACTTATTATGTTTTTAAGCACTTATTGGGGTGGGGATGTTTGGTAAGCTACTTTCCCCATAAGTGCTTATATTGACACAAAGCTTTTCACATGTTATGCTATACATTTTAATTGAGAGTCCACGTGGACATACACGTGAATCGCCATGTAAACCAAAAATAATAATAATAATAATAATAATAATAATAATAATATTATTATTATTATTATTATTATTATTATTATTATTATTATTATTATTGTTGTTGTTGTTGTTGTTGTTGTTGTTGTTGTTGTTGTTGTTGTTGTTGTTGTTGTTGTTGTTATTATTATTATTATAAATACTAAATAATAATTATAAATAATCCTAATAAATAAATAACAATAATAATAATAAATACTCTGGCCTCCCTCTCCATCTCATACTTCTTCCTTTTCTTCAGAACCCCCCTGAAATCCATTGTTCATCATCTTCCTCACGGCACAGAACCAACAGCAGCAATGAATCCATTCCAATCTCCACCTCCAATCTCTTATCTCTCTTTTTTTTCCCACACCATYTCTCTTTCTTCTTTTTTTTTCTTCTTCTCCTTATTCTTCACTCTTTCCCTTTCCCTGTTCATCATCGTCGTTGCATCGACGGGTTCAAACCAGCAACCATGGTGAGTGGCGGCGTTGAATAGGAACGATGACTGAGGAAGAAAAAACATATTTGTGATCCCAGAGTTCGATCTTTGTGGCAAGACTAAGGGTTGAGGAAGAAAAAACAGGAACGGTGAGATATGTGAAATTATTAGGGACTGGTTCAATTGTAGATCTGCGAAAACCCAAAAAAAACTAACCTCTTGTCGCTGGTTAGTTCAAATGTACATCTGTGAGAAAACAGATAGTTCAAGTGTAGATCTACAGAGAATAGGGAGTTCAAGTTAGAAAAGAAACAAAAAAAAATGATTAAATGAGAAAAAAAATCAGAAAATAGAAGAAAGTTGCCAAACGATAGGTCCGCTGGGCACTTTTCCTAACCGTCGATCGTCGTCGATGGACCTGCAACTGGTGCACCGCTACCTGGGTTTGATGTTCAAATGAATGGAGAAGGAGGAGGTATAACCCTCGTGGGGTATTTGAGGCATTATAAAAAATTATTAGGGATTGGTTCGTCCCATTTTTTTGGAGAACTGCTTCTTCAAGAAGTACTTAAAAAAGCCAACTTGAAGTCACTTTTTTAAAAAAGTACTTCTTCCCCACTTTTTTACCAAACACATAAAACCACTTAATAACCATTTCTTTTAAGTGTTCTCAAACACTACCTAAGTTATCCAATTTAATCAATAAAGATAATATAAGTTTTAAACTATATGGTATATTTATTAAGGGGGAAAGTAAAGAAAGTATAGATTCCATGAGTAGACCCTAGAACCACCAAGGCCATAATTGACCTTCACAAGGTAGGTTCCGGTTCCAAAAACCATGTAAACAAACCGAACCGGCCCATGCTCACCCCTTATTGCTGCTAATGCTCATAAAGTTGACCTGACCCTAACCTGATAGTATTGGTGCTCCATTGCTTGTATTGCTAGGGATCATCTTGATATGGTCCTTTATCTTAAAACCTACATATTGGTCTCTCTATTATCAATCTAGCTGATGAAGCCTGGGCTGCATGGGAAGCTCTCAACATCCTCATCAACTTTCAAGACTCCCATATCATCCTCAAAGGTGACTCAAGGCTCATCATCAGTTGCTTAAGAATGTTGGTCCACCTTGGAGATTGAAGAAAATCGTTGAGGAATACCATTATGTGTATGCTTGTTACCATGGCCTCTAAATCATTGCTTGGTGCAAAGGTAAAATCTCAGGTCGATAAGCGTAGGAGCATAGTTCCGGTCTAAAGGTAAGAACCATATATCGAGTTCACCCCTCCCAAGACCTGAATAACTAGGACCTTATTGGGTGATGGGCTTTTACGCAATGTCCCTGAAGGCTTTTGTGGCACTTAATTAGACCTGTTCATGGGCCGGTCTTGGGTTCAGTCATTAAGTCATTCAGTTCAGTTCAGCTCACATCGCCCTTATAAAGATCCTCATGCTGTACTATGTTCGACTTATTAAGGGGAGATGGGAGGATATATACCGATCCCAAATAGGCAAATA